ACCATCCTAGACGTGTCCCCACGAGGCCTCCCGGCCTGCGCACAGAGCAAGCACCGGGAGGGGTATTTTCCAGAACTTCTGAACCAGTTCTTCCAGCTGGAAGGCATCTTCATTACGGGTTATCACTTTAGGGAGCTTTCCGGCACGAGGATCCTTCTGTCTTTTGACCTCAGCCGTTCCAACCTCCCTTCCAACACCCCACACGCTCCCTCAGGACAGACTCTGTCACCCGGGCGCATAACCCTGATGAAAAGCGTGTGAACAAAGAAATGTGAGGCTGTGCAGAGACGCAAGTACGTCACTAACTTCCCTGACGTGGGCTTCCGGAAACTAAGAGGAAAATGAAAAAGAGGCTAATTTTTGTTTCTTTTCTAAGTTTTGTCTTACTGATCAGGCAAAAAAAAATAATAAATTAATTAATAAAACAAGGAAAATGAAGGCTCTCACACTCTTCGTTAATACTAGACTCAAGGCCTTTCTGCGAAGCACTCAGAACCCCCCCCCCCCCCCCCCCCCCCCGCCAACCGTTGGGGTAAATCTCACTGACCCCGTTGGGGTAAATCTCAAGTTCTACGAGACAGGTTTCTGCTTTAGCCTCAGGAGCAGAGGTTAAAGGGTAGCCACACCCTCTGTCACCCAAGCTCTTGAAAGTAGGAAACCTTGGAGAACCTCAGACACAAAACACAGCGGCTTGAGTTAGCGTCATGTCCGCCATTTAACGGCGAAGAGAAGAGGGAGGCTGAGGGGAGGCCCCGAGGGCAGGGGCGACAGGGAGCCCCGCTGTCATTCCCGGATCAGACAGGAGGTCCTCACTTTCCCCCCACCCTCCACCCCACCCCTCCCGCCCCCGGGGAACTCACACTGGAGAGAGGCCAGGAAATATCCTCCGCAGGCAGGTGCCGATGTGAGCCAACACTTCGCTCACGTCGTCGGGCGATGCCATCCTCATGGAGATGCTGTGCTTGTCAGTCTCCACGACCATCTGCAAGAAGCGGGCGGACGCTGCTTAACACCGGGTCCCAGGCCGTGAGTCTGTAGCTTTAAACCAGATAAACCGCGTATTCCCACCGACATGTACCAGCCTCTTCGGAAGCGCTTCCCTAAAATAACACCCTCAGTGAAGACCCAAGGAAGTGCCTGGGTAGACGGTGGAAAGGTCCAGAAACATCCAGAAACTGAAGCACGTGTTTCTAAAGGCAAAACTACAGATGCAAACAGACCCCCGCCCCACACGCACACACGCGAGGGAGACGGGCCATTCGCACTCGCACACAACTTCTCCTAAGTTTTGGTTTCGTCTTGAGACGCAGCCTTCCAAAGTCTGCTCCATCCCTACCGCCCAGTATAAAGAAGTATGCCTCCGCCAGTGAGCAGGTGAGGGCAAGCTGATCGTTACCTCTTTTTCCTTTTATACATTTTTTAAAATCAGACCCCTTACGAGATGTTTAAATGAAATGCTAAAACCTTTTGCCTGGTAGCAAAAGAAAAATCAAACGCTTGGGAACATTTCAACTTTTTTTTTGTTTTTTAATTTTTTTTAACATTTACTTATTTTTGAGAGACAGGGAGAGACACAGCAGGAGCAGGGAAGGGGCAGAGAGAGGGAGACACAGAATCCAAAACAGGCTCCAGGCTCTGAGCCATCAGCACGGAGCCCGACGCGGGGCTCAAACCCACAAACTGTGAGATCATGACCTGAGCCGAAGTCGGACGCTTAACCGACTGAGCCACCCAGGCATCCCAAACATTTCAACTTTTCTAAGAAGAGAGAATGTTGGAAAGGATTATGTGATGGGAACAAGGTAATCATGTTCGGGGTGAGGCAAAGAATCATTCCAGTGAACTGCTGGGAGATGTCCAAAGCTTACACCAAAAATGTTGACGCTGAGGTCGTACAGCTAGGTAAATAAATATAAATCAACCTGAAAACATGGGCAGGTCACAAAGGGCAACAGGTTGTTTATGGACATATTTCAGATAAAAAGAATCAACTTCAATCACTTTTTTAAGAATACCATTATCTTGGATCTCAAAAAAACATTCATGTTAAACGCAATCCCTCTGGATCAAAATATCCTCACATATTTACTTCCTGCTGGTACTTACCTTGTGCAAAAATATGATGAGGGAACACTACACTTAATATGCAATTAGCCCATGAGATTAACAAAGCAGTTTTCAGATTTGTTTGGGGCTGTCCTAAAATTAGCTAAATTAAAAGTAATCATGTGAGGACACATGGATGACTCAGCCGGTTGAGCGTCCAACTATTGATTTCGGCTCAGGTCAAGGTGAGATCGAGCCCCGCGTTTGGAGCGAGAGAAAGAGAGCATCAGTGGGGGAGGGACAGAGAGAGAGAGAGATAATCCCAAGCAGCCTCTGCGCTCTCGCACAGAGCCCGATGCGGAGCTCGAACCCATGAACCGTAAGATCGTGACCTGAGCCGAAACCAGGAGTCAGACGCTTAACCAACTGAGCCACCCAGGCATCCCAAACAAATAAGCTTTTAAAAAAATAAAGGAAAAGTAGTGCAATTTGTGTGTCCAAATGCTGAGATCAAAGAGAAAGACTTAAGTGACCTGAGACCTTCAAATGTCACTTTTCCACAAGCACCCCAGAGGAATCTGTCAATACGTACCGCCTCCGTGGCAGTGAGTTGGCTCCCCACATAAAAAAACAAACCAACCTTTTTTATCCTAATTTTCATGCATCGGTCTTCTAGAAGGCGACCCAAGGAAGATTTCTCCCCAAAAGGGCGGCCAGCTTTGCTGTCCCCGCCGGGTACTTATTGTTCAGCCCCAGGATACCTCAAGGAAGCATCTGAAGCAAACTGCTTTGTGCAGTTAGGCTCAGATGTCCCACGTGCACGTATCTGTGCGTACCCGTGGTTTACAAAGCCAGACACCCTGGGACGCAGCCACGGGGTCCACGCTCTGCAGCCCACCCCCAACACCCCACCACCGTGGGTAATGAGATTTTCCACGACAAGGTGTTTCTGCTTTCTCCCCATCTAGTGCAGCCATTCAGTGCACAGTTCGGGGGTGAGCAATCAGGAATTAGCGTCTTCTAACTCCGCTTACTCTTAACGCCTAATCATCCTTAATTGCACGGGACTGAACGGAATGACAGGGAAGAAAAGAAGGTGACAGGTCTGGAGGGGAAGAAAGGAGGCCTTCACATCCACCCCGATATAAAAGCTGTGCACGGCCCTGCGTAATAGGTCGCCACCTTTGGATCATATAAAGACTGACACAGAGGGACAGAGGTGATGCTAACACAGCCAATCGTTTCACCAGGACAAAGGACTCCCTTTCAAATACCTCTGTCCCTCTGATTTCGGCTGCGGAAAAAAAAAATCAAGCCTTTGAAACAGTTCTGGCTTAGATACCCAGGAGGACATAATCCACGACCTCCAATGCATGTTTAAGATAATGATGTAACTGCTAGTATCTTACTTGGGAGAAGTTTCCAACCCCACCCACCTCCTTTTTTAAGTAGAACAACCTGGATAAATCTGAAGCACTTTTTTTTTTTTGAGGGAGGGAGGGAGTGGGGGGGAGAGAGAGAGAGAGAGAGCGCACAGGGGAGGGGCAGAGAGAGAGGGGGGCACAGAGGATCTGAAGCAGGCTCCACGCTGGCAGCACAGAGCCTGATACGGGGCTCGAACTCATGAATTGCGAGATCATGACCTGAGCCAGAGCCAGAAGCTTAACTGACTGTGCCACCCAGATGCCCCGACCTCAAGCACTTTTTCATAAAAGCCAGCCAACGCATCTGTGAAGAGTTCTTCGTTCTTCTAACAGAAACAGCCATGAGTGGTTTGCCAAAATCATCCTATGACACAGCAAACAATTAACTTTACAATTTTTAAAAAATCCTAAGTGTTTCAGTCATACAACAACTAGTCCCCAAATTCCATACCTATGAAGCTACCTAACTGCGGTTCTCAATGTATTGACCACGAACAGAAAACAGAATTTCAACAAAACTTAAACACAGAGAAAGTGCTCTGGCAACGAGATGGGGAAAACGGGATAAAAGTCTCATATTTTCACAAAGACCAGGAAGAGAACAGCAAATGTCACATTTCAGTCCCCCAGTAACACGCACTCCCCCTGTAACATGCGCTCTGCCTCACTCACACACGATGAAATGTGAACGTCCGGGCATTTAATCTGAATTGACAAACTATAACTAAATAATGATAAAAAGCTAACCAATCCCGGGGCGCCTGGGTGGCTCAGCCGGTTAAGCGTCCAACTTCGGCCTGGGTCACCATCTCGCGGTCCGTGAGTTCGAGCCCCGCGTCGGGCTCTGGGCTGATGGCTCAGAGCCTGGAGCCTGCTTCCGATTCTGTGTCTCCCTCTCTCTCTCTGCCCCTCCCCTGTTCATGCTCTGTCTCTCTCTGTCTCAAAAATAAATAAACGTTAAAAAAAAAAATGTTTTTAAAAAGTTAACCAATCCCAAAGAACGTTAAAAAGAATGGAAAAAAAAAAGAGAAAAAAGAAAAGCTCATCCTAACCCAGGGTACGGTGTGAGTGCCACATCCAGTTGTAAAACCTACGGTTTTACATTACAGAGCACTAGAGAAACCAGACGTTGAGGTTCCTGAGGTGACACAGGGTACATCTTTCATCCTCTGCAACACAAGGCAATCAAATGTCCACCCCTGATACCCTGAGTCCCAATAGTCGTGTGTGTGTGTGCGCGTGTGTGTGCATAAGTGTGCATAAGTGTGTGCATGTGTGTGCATAAGCGTGTGCATAAGCGTGTGCATGTGTGCATAAGTGTGTGCATGTGTGTATACGTGTGTGCATGTGTGTGCACAAGTGTGTGCACATGTGTGCATAAGTGTGTGCATAAGTGTGTGAATGCACGTGTATGTGTGCATGTGTACGTTAAGTGTGTGCATATGTGTATACGTGCATAAGTGTGTGCGGGTGCACTGCATAAGCGTGTGCACACGTGTGTGCATGCACAAGTGTGTGAGTACACATGTGCGCGTGTGAGTATACATGTGGGCACATGTGCGTGCACATGGATACGTGTGCGTGTGTGCATGTGTGTGCATGCATATGTACACAGAGGAGTGTGACAGGGAGAGAGGTAATGCTGGAGGCATCAGTATTTACGTCTCAACAGAACTACAGAAATTTCCGAAAGCTGAGATTCTGAGGACCGGCAAGCATCATGAGCCCCTTGGTTCCGCTATGCCGTCGTCTGCAAGGCCCACACGGAACGGGAGCTAGGCGGCAGGGCTCCTCCGCTGGCACTCGCAGTGACAACGGCTCCACGGGCCCGAGGTGACCACTGTCTACTCCGTGCCTCTTTGAATGCCAGACACACTGGAGGGAAGCGACTTCCTGTGTCCCCAGGCCAGACCAGTGCTGGCAGCTGCACAGGGAAATCGGCCTTGCTGTATCCACATCCTTTCTCATAATTAAGTCCCACAGTCACATCATACTCTGAATATGACCTTGGCATTAACATTTCAGTTAATGCCCTTCTGCTCCCATCAGAACCCCGACACCATAAACATAAACATCCCTGAATTAGGACCGTCAGGAAGGCCCTGCTTATGTCATCATTCGTGAGCAATCATTCACTCCTGCATATGGCTGCCATTTGGGCAAACATATGGTGCTGTAATTCTTCTTCCCAACTCCAGTTTCTAGAGAATGCTAAACACACAGGATAACACGCTGCTCTCAGATGAACCATGGAAAAGTTCCAAGGATTTGTATGTAATCTCGATCAACGTAAAGTGACAATTCTGACCATTTTTTCTAGGAGTTGTTGTCAATAACTACACACACATGCGTGGGCGCACACAAACACGCATGCATTTTCTTTATAGTTTTAAAAACTAAAGCAAAAAGTAGAATGAAGGAAACAATAAAGATCAGAGTAGGCATCGATGAAACAGGAAACAAACTCAATAGAGAAAATCAACAAAACCAAAAGCAAGTTCTTTGAGAAGAT